GGCGTCTCAATTTTGGTAAAAATAGAAACTAATAGTCCAGGACACCCAGTATAGTATTGCCAAGAAGAGTAAGCAAATAAAGATGGTAAATGCTAGGTTCCATGTACAAATGCTGGTCCTAATCTCTTCGGGGCTTGGCGGAAGGGGCATCAGGATCGGGTTGTTTCTCTCTGGGCACTCCGCACATTCCTTAGGTTGAATCCAGCCCATTGCCTCCGCATAACATGGAGGGAATGTGGAGGAATCCAGCGTTGCACTCATTTTGCTCTTATCTGCACTTGTATGAAAGCCTTTCAGAACTATATTTCAATATTTTCTGATCGGATTACGGTTCAATAGATTTTTGAATTCAAAAGCAGCCTCTTTATCCGAACGACGAAAACAAACTAATTTACTTATTTCAGTGCGCAAAGCTCTTAAAAATGCTGATAAGCAACGTATGTATTTCACATACATGAAGTAAATGGCATTTGCCACCGATATATGACTTCATATGCCTTTTTGATAAGCAATAGTAGTGGGAGAATGTTTTTTCTACTGCTGACATAAACAACATTGTACATTTGAAAAGCGAGTCACCATTGAATGTTTGAAAACAACCACGAGCCCGCTTTTTAGTCAAGAAATCGTATTGAAAACCCCAATTCGAAAAATTCATGAGTATGCAGAGTCTGTATATTTACCCCAAACATCAAATCGATGGCACATGGCCTAATATTGTCCTTGAATGTTGATATTAATTGCTTTTTATTGTTTTAGACTCTCGCCTTGTCAAATATTCGGGGCCAGCTATAACTTAATCCCAGATCCCAGTCAAATGCGTTCAACATATGCTGCAGAAATGTTTCGCAAATACTCCAAGTACACTTGGCCACACATATGGTCTGGCTTTTATTTTGGCCGACACCGAGCTTGAGTAAATATTGGCATTGCATATGAAATGCGTTCCAAGCTCGGCAGAAACCCCACTCAGTCAGCCATTCAACGCCAATGGACTTCCAACGGACATTGAATTTAATGCCCCGGCATTGAAGATATGAAGTGGGAAAGTTTTCGAGTGTTCTGAATACGTGTAATATGCTTGCGGACACTTGAAGCCACACACCCGCAACGTCAACGGCCACCCACACAATTGCATTTATGTGCACACGTGGATTGCATTAGAAAGTTGCCATCACATAAACTAAATCCGCCTCGAGCGCAAAGATCCCAGTCTCCGGCTGACAGGAACTGGATACGACAACGCCAGGATGCCAAGGTGCAGACCGTGCAGGGCATTTGCATTAGGGATGAGCTCGTGATCCAGGGATACTGTGGACTAGCCCGTCTGCTAGCAAATCAAATTAATGTAAGTTCATTCCGGGCCCATTCACTTAGGTGCCTCAGAGGGCAAGGACTGGATGCTACCGCAGCCATAAACAAAACAAAAAGGGCACATATTGCATTTATGCCAACCATAAATAAGACGCATTGGGAGTGCCTTGCCTCCTGAAATCTTACCTTTGGCAGAGAATCAACAAGTTCCACTGGCCACTTTTCTCGCTGTGTTTAATAAATGTAAGCGCTAGCCTGCTCGCCAAATTGGCCGTGCCAATTTATTGGCCAACTCAGGGGTATGCAGATGCTGCAGATACATTTAGACCCGCTCCACCAAGTTGCCATCTCTAGGCGGAAATACAGCCATTCGCTTGGCCCATTCGACTTTAGTTCCTGTGCTTACTTACGTTCACGTTTACGTTTACGTTTGGACGTGTTTGACGTGTCAGTTTCAAGGGGCAATTGTGCAAATGTGTCGGTTACCATTTTCGGGATGAGATGTGCGATAAGCGCCAAATGCTCGAGCGGAGCTCAGGCTCCTGGCGGTGGAGTCCTGAGTAAGGACACGAATGGCAGCTGCAGATTGAGATAAGAATGCGAATCTTTGCTGACATCAAAAGTAGCCGGAGACAAACGTCGTGCGAGTGGCACGACCTTACTGCTTTCCTGCTTTGCCATCCTGGCCATCTTTGGCATAAAATCGAGTGCCTGGCTTCAAAGAAATCCGGCTCATTGGCGGCATATGCACCGGCCCTACCGATCCGAGTCTCGAGTCCACGCCGACAGCATCTTGCACGGATACATCCGCTCCGATTAAATCCGCTCTTGAGGCCACCATTAAGTGTGGACCTGTGGAGCTGCTGGCATGTGGGAAGCAGCACTGAGGGTCCTCAGCTCAAAGGATATGCCAGTAAATGAGAGTTTAACTGCGGGGAAGAAGAGGAAAGTGGAGTGCCAATTACTGTTTCACTTACCTTTGAGAGTTCCTGCCAGTTGGCCCAGGATTTAAGTCCTGCAGTGACTCGCTGAGCTCGGCCTTTGTGGGTAGTAGTTTGGCTTTTACTACTTTTCCATCAGCATAAGCACAAATTATTGCTCAGCGGGATGGAGCCCTTAAATTAAGTCACTTCAAGTGCGTATACTTAATTTTTTGTCATGCTCCGTTTTTACGGCCAGCCCACATGCGCGTATGTACTTACTACTTGTACATGTAGAAATCGCAAATTGGGCCGCATAATATCACAGTTTGAGCCACAGCTAGCACGGCCTAAAAGTCGGGCACACCTGGAAACTGTGCTCCATGGCCATATCCTGCAGCCGCACTACGATCCTGGCCACTTCCACTTCCACTTCCGCACTCGCAAATCCACAAAGCGGCTGCCGTGCTTTATGCTTTTTGCCTTATCCTGCGCCGCATTTAACAATAAAACGTGAATTGTTTGCAATGAAAAGCGCAAAGGCGGTAATAAAGCGAGCAAACAAGGAAACACACACGCACACACACACACGCACTGGCTTGCCTCAGGCGTTACACTGCGAGAAACCGAGGCAGTCACATGGGCAGTCCAGTGCCATGTACAAGGACTAATAAGTTTCTACTTAACAAAAAGAATAAAGAGTCTTAAAGTAAGCAGAAAGTAAAGAATGCAATAAACCGCATATTCATAGATGACTTTGCTTGCAGTGTAGGCGTGCGTGCTTTCGCCACTTTTAGCTAATTGCTGCACTCAAACGCAATACAGGTGTTCGGCCAACCGGAAGTGAGTCAGATATGCGTGCGATTCAACGGAAACTGCAGTTTGTGGGCACTATTTAAGCCAATGACCATTAGCGCCCAGATATCGACACTTAAGCCAAATGGGCGAATTGTGGGTGGAGGTGGAAAACTCCATGATCGGGACAATGAAATACATTTACGGCATTAATTGCCCCAACGACATGTTAAGCAACTTGAGCAATTCACACAAGGCCAAATTAATTGGAGCACACGTGACATGCGTTCATGCGTTGTTGGCCAAATCATGAGATGGCCAAGAGCAGAAGAATTGGCGAGGAGAGGAGTGATATCTTGATTCTGGCTAACTGTGTATCTGCTAGTTTGCAATCTGCTGCACGTATAAACCCAAAGAGAACGGCCTAAAGCAGCCGCAATTCATTGTGGGCTGCTCAACGAGCCCTGAAATTAATTGAGAATGCCATCATAAACATGCCAAACGAGAAAATTGTAATTAATTCCCCAATTGCAAAGCACACCGCCACCGACGGCATTTGTTCATTTGGATGCGATGGCCACTGCAAGATTTCATTAGGGATCCATGTATCCAGTATCCTGTATCCTGTATCCTGTGTGATTTGTGACAGCTCCACGTTGACCTGCAACACACTTCATCAATGGCGAATTACCGAAGCAGGCGATGCAATTTGATATGCCCTGTCGAATTTGGCCAAATTAGCAGGAGCACGGCACTTCCCATTTGGAGAAAAGCCTGAAAGGAAATGCGATAAGCCATAAGTTATGTTTAACTGCACGTCTGGATCAACGACGGCATCCGCACTCGCAATTTCCTTCAAACTAATTACTTTGAAAACAGCAAAGATGCTACTTGACACAGTACTTCGCACTACAACTCTTCCACCGCCACTCTTCCCTTTCGCTTTTCCCGCTTTTCCCGCTTTCCCGCAGTGGGAAAGCAAGTGCAATTGCAATTGCAATTGCAAGCGTGGCTAAATTAAATGGCTGACAAAGTGAGCAGCATCAGCAGCCCGCAGCCCGCATCCCGCGAGGACCAGAGTTTTCTTTTATATTCCGCCAGCAATGGCAGCCGGCAGCCGGCAGCGAGAGAAAATGGTGGAAATGAACGCAAGGACATGGACTTGAAAGTGGAAAGTGCCAAATGGCAACTGCGAAAAGTTGCGAGCGGGCGGCGAAAGTTTGTCATAAATCAGAATATTTTAAAAGTGTTTGCCCTGACAGAACAAGAAGAGCGCAAGATGCGCACTGTGGCAGTCATAAGCCAAGATTATGGCCGGGAACTTGTAGCCATGTCGAACAGCGAACTGTGATGGCCAAAACTGCCAACTTGTAGACCCTTGGGTGGTGCAAAATATCGGAAATGAAATGTCCCTTAAGTCGGGCATTGGTCAACTTTACAAGCAGGCAACAAGTGATTATCTGGGGAATGCAATGCAGTAATATGGGGTTTTCAAATATTAAAGTAAAAGTTCTTCATTCTGAAGCATGCAAGGGTATAAATCGAAAATGGGTTTTAAAATCAAGTGATTTCTGCTCTGCAGTTTCAAGCGCTGAGTTTGTGCTTCCAAGTAATTGCGTCGCCAATTGACTTCCTTGGTGTTTTATAATTTTTAAAGTCCTACTCAGGTAGTCAGCCTCAACACTTTGACTTCGCTTTGACTTCGAAGTGCCGTGCACTGAGTGCAACTAATGCAGGCATTTAAGTCCATCAGGCATACTAAGTGACTTTCCAGCATCGCCACTCCTGGGAATACCAATTTAAATTCAGATGCGGACTGCGACTTGAAGCTGCAATGACATCGGATGTCCAGTGATTTGCATTCGGTGATGCGGCGATGGCGATGGCGATGGCGATGGCGACGATATAATCGACTTGGCCGGATAGTTTTCGATGCCGCAGCAGGCCAGGGAATCCACAGCAGTTGACAACTCAAAGAAAACAAATAGACGGGCGAAACTTTGATTGACATTTCAATTAAATTACAGCCCAACTCGCTGTCGCTGGCGGGAATGTTCCGAGTGCAGAAAGTTTTGCTCGCCGAATACGAGGAGATCTACGAGCCGGTGCTGGTGGAGAATCCCTTCACCCTGGTGGACATACGCGGCGTGGGAGTGCGCCAGTACCACATAGGCCTCACCAGCAACCGCCTGCTCTTCGGCTGCGACAACTTCTCCAAGTACGGGGATGAGCCGGGCTTCCTGGACCGCGGCCAGGACCCGGAGATCGAGAGCTTCGAGCTGGTCAGCATGCTGCCACTGCAGCTGATCCGCTTCCACTTCTTCCGCAAGGCGGCGCGCTGCCTCATGATGCTGAACATTGTCCAGCCGCTGGGGGAGCCGCTGGTCATTCTGGAGCACCCAATGATCTTCGAGTTCGGCGGTCACCTCTTCAAGCAGCACTTCTGGCACACCTGGCGCGAGCGGGTGGCCACCATCCGGGTGATGCAGCCGCTCTACGGCCAGATAACCGGCGCCTCGCCCTTCTCCAGCACCGACGTCCAGCTGGACGAGGAGACCATCTCGGTTCAGGTGCATCCGCCGCCCAAAAGCCCCTCCTTCTTCAGTGCCTGCCATGCGGGAGCGGGCGATTTCGGCTAGCCACTCTGCTGCGTACTTTGGGCCAGTTTCCATTTTCTATTAACGGATTGCCTGCCGCGCCTTTCCATTCCGACAGCCGCCTGTTTATTTATTTATATTAAAAGTAGGCCGCTCTTCCCACCTTAAGAACAGCTATTTTTGGTCAGTTGGGAATAGCTTTCGAGCCTCCTAAAAAAAGTCCTCGAACACACTTAACGGCTTAAAGGACGTCTTGTTTTGTTAGGACATTCAACAGCTGTTAATAACTAGAACCTCACTTCTACACGCTTCTGGCTAATTAGTCAATAAGAATATTTTAAATAAATATGCAAGGTAACTAATTACGTCTAGCCTATCAGAGGGTACAGGGTATTTCCCGCTTCGATACTCACTGCGATTCCCCCGATTTCGGTTATTGCTTGACTCCATCTTGGATGGCTAATGCAATCAGCAGGATGGCCACAACAGGCGACCGAGAGCTCTGGTTTTGGCGGCTTGTTCGCCTGGTTGTTTATTTGGGAATGGGCTGGAATCGGCCCAGAATCGGGTTGGGAATGGGAGTGGGGCTGGGGGAATGACGACGGAAAAATGTTGTATTGATGTGCTCGGGCTTTTGGGCTATTTGTTGCCTCCAAGCCCCAAGTTAACCAACAGCCAACAAAGTTTTCAATTTGCCGACAAACTTAAGCCGCAACCACAGCATTTGTCGACGCTGGCAGAGGGAGAACTGTGGCTGGCCTGGAGGTCCTGGAGGAGCAGGACATGTCTGTCTCCGGGTGAGCGTGCAGCTGACACCAAAAATCAATTGCAATGAAATGCTGGGCGAATAAAACAACAGGCCGGCGGATTGGAAAAAATAACAACAAGTCGTCATTGGCTCTATTTGGTTTGGGGCATTTAATGGTCAAAGTTTTTCAACTTGTCCGTAATTTATTTGATTTGCTTTGGCCGCTGCCTGTTGGCTGTGGTCCAGGGGCGAAAGAGCTTTTGATAAATTACAATTTATTTAATGAAATGTGCCGAGTCCGAGTCCCGGGCGGCGCATTAATCATACGCCATGTGGTGCGGCAAACAAATACAGAAATAGCAGCATTTTAAATTTTGCCACACTCCCGCTACTTTAAACCCTTCTACCCCTAAGCTGCGCCACAAAATCCGTTCGCATGGCGACGGCAATGCGAAAAGTTAATTAAAAGCCCTGGTACACCGTCGGCAGTCAATAAAAAACATTACAAACCATGAACGTTGAACACGCCCACGCAATTCTACGTTTTTATTAATTCTTAATACACCTGCTGACGCCGGCAATTAAGGCGGATCTGTTCAGTTTCATTTAATTAGCCATAAAGGCGCTTAAAGGTGCAGAATTGCTTCCTGGCGACAGGACTCAGTTACCTCGTGGAAGACCTAGATATTCCAAATTGAAATAGCTGCCAAAAATGTGCCTGCATTCTAGGCATTCCCGCCCAGCTTTGTTGCCATTTTTCTATATATACATTCAAGTATTTATATACATCTTATTGGCTTGGCGGGAGCTCAGAGCATCTGAGCAGCCACATCAAAGCATCGTGAGTAATTGCTTCCGAAAAATTTGAATTTTCGCTGCCAGCATGTGCAACTGGCCTTAGGAAAAATTTCATTTCAGACACTCGCCTCTGAAATTCATTGACAGCATCGATAAGTTGATGCCGCATATTTTCCCAGCCCCCCATTTCCCCGGGTCCCCACTGCGTATACGCAATGCTCCCAGTCGCGCGCGTGTGTGTGTGTGTGTGTGTGTGTTGGCCATATTTCATTAGCACAGCACACGGCACATTTGACATTCTGTCGGCGCTTTAAGCGCAGCGTTTAAGGCGACATTAAAGCTCGGCCCGCATGCAGCTTAAGTTGACAGTGATGGATGAGTCTCGCATTTATTGAATTCCAACGGATGACTGTGCGTCTTGTGGCACATATGCAAATTGGTGAGCTTAATAGCTAAATGCCGATTGCTATATATATGCACAAATCGAATTTTTCGCTCGGGGGCACTTTAAAGAACAGTTGAGACTCAGCAATTTGGCTCTGATTGAATACATTTCGGCTCGATCTTCGCCTGGCTTTAATTGAATTAAGAATTGCATTTATAGCCTAGAAAGGCTGTAAGTTATCAGTTTAAACAGTAAACTATCAGCATTTGAATGGGTTGTGATATGAATGAAAAACAAGAAGCGCTCTATAGCTCTGTGTCATTCAAATCAGTTCCACATAACATTCACACTTGCTAACAGATTAGTCATGGCAAATTTTCTTGAAAGCCCAAGCTTTTTAAACAAACGATAATAATAAATATACGAAATATAAAGTACCCTGTACAAGGTGTGTTTCATAATATAAATATGTTGTACATATTGTATATAAGCACGTTATCAGTATTTTCCTCTCCATTTCTTTCATTACGTAGAAAACGTAATCTGTCGAATGCCACGATTTCACAGAATTATTATTATACTACTCGAGCTCTGCAAAGTGGCTTATCAAATGTCAAAAGAGCTCGGCAATGCAAAGGCTTTAATCAGTTTACCCCGAGCCCTCGCACTAAGTGGTTGGTTTACTCAAATCCGATCTCAGTTCTGAAATAAATTCTTTTAAAAGGGCATTTCTTTCAAATGCTTTGCGTCAAAAGTGCCAGTAATTATACAAACTATACAAGTTCAAATATGCCTATACATGCAAATTAAACTAATAATATATGTGTGCTTAAGCTGTTTTGGGTTCTTATCAAGAACGCCGCAAAGCGAATCCAAAAAACTAGTGTGTTTCAAGCGGCCACATTGAGTGGAGGCAAAGACTTACAAAAATGAGTTCCTTCGACCACGTTTCCAGCACACCACCACCTTCCTATGAGGAGGCCATGGGCTGGCGACCTCGCAGCTCGCAGAGCACCGCGATGCTGTTCCCGCAGGGCAACCCTTTGGTCATGATCTGTCCACGGTGCCACGACGAGATCGAGACGAGCTCAAAGGTGCGGCGCGGAAAGCTCGCCTATGTGGCCTCGGGCATAGTGCTGTTCACCACCTGCGGCATGGGTTGCTGGCTGATTCCCTGCATCCTCGACGCCTTCAACGAAGTCCACTACTCGTGCCCCGTCTGCAAGACGACCCTGAGTATTGTGCCCCAAGATCAGAGCTGGCCAAGCTAGGCACTCGTTCGAAATGGACAGAGTGCGCGCTTTCAATTATGTTAAGGATTATTTAACGCTGTTCCTCAAAACTACGTGGACACCACAAACTGAAGCAGGAACATAGCCCTAAGCTAGCTCTAAGTTCATACAGAACTGGGCTGAATAAACCTCAAATCAATACATTAAACGCACTAAGACTTTCCCTCACTTGGGCTAATTCAATTTGATTTTTACCGGCGGCAGTTTGAAGTTTTCAACGAACCGAAACGTGCCGGGCATCGCAAAGGTTCCGCGCACATCGCTCCTGACCACAGGAAAGGGCGACCCAGAGCCGAAAGGATTTAATCCCGGACTGGCGGCGTACTTGTTTACCCCGTGGCTGCTTTCATGTGGTGGCATCCGCTGGCTGCGTGGCAACAAACAGCAGTGTGGTGGCAGGAAATTATTAAGCAAACATTTTGTCGCATGCCTGAAAAATCGCGGCCTAGATGGTCGTATTTGCTTTTGTGCCGAGTGTTAAAGCGTCTGCCACGAAGTAAGTAAAAGCTGTTAATGCCTCTGATAGACGCACGACAGCGAATCCTTTCTCTTCCCCCACACACACACATTTGCACAGGTGCCCTCAAGCCAACGCCAGATTTATTGCATACTTTTCAGGGCGTGCATTAGCGTGGCATCCGTCGCGTCACGAATCTGCCAGGGGAAAAGCGGCTAGAAAGTGGGGATCGCAGGGTGAAGCTGGGAAAAACTTGAAAGAAAGCTGGCAGCGAAGAAAAGTCAAGCCAGAACGTGACTTGGCGTTGGCAACGGTGCCCGTGATGATGATGATGGAGCTCCTCTTGTTGGCCACACATCAAGCCAAATGGCTGTCATTAAAATGGAAGCCAGCAGAGGCCATGCAAAATCCCTCTGACATCATTCACTTTAAGCCCGATGTCATGTGGATAAGTAGTTTATCTATTTTTAAGTATCCAGCATAACTAGATAGCCAGAATTAACTTAAGTCAGCCAGCAGCCCTGGCTGCGAAAACCAATCGCTTTAAGGCGATTTGATGATGCACTTTGGTATCTCAGCAATGCAACCTCTGATGATTGCAGGAACAATTAAACTATTACTGGCCACAAACTCAAGCCAACTGACGTGCATGCGATGCGATGTCGGAATCGAATCCAAGTTCACTCCAGGGGAAACGAGGCTAAGCGCCTACAATGAACCGAAAATTGGCCAAGTTGAAAATGCAAATCTCAGGGGAAGGCCGGCCACACCTGGCCAAAGGACTCCCACCACTCACACCACCTCCGACCTCCGACCTCCGACCTGTGGCAACATAAGCAAACACTGTGCAAATGGTCGGCAGTTAAGAGGCTATTAAAATGCAAAACTTTGGACGCAAGCCCAGCTGGCTGCAAGACTTTGGCCGCTTTCCGGCCCACTGACTCACTAAGGGGATCACGCCGGGCCACCAGGCGCACTCCCACTCCCACTGCCGGATGAACTGCAAACAAATAGAGAGTCCTCGTCGATTTCCAGCTTGCATTGCATTCTCCCTCACTTCACATATCACAGGATGTGTTTCAGCAACGCCTACCCATCTGCGAACCTGGAATCCACATCCAATCCTTGATGGCAAACAGCTGGCTTGCATGTGCTTGTAGGTGGGAGGATGGGCTGACCCCCGGTTGCTAAATCGTAAATGTTAATGGCTGCACGGATTCAATGGCCCGGGTTTTGCCTTGACTTTCCGTTATCCAAAGGGTTTCGATTGCATCGTGATACCTGGCACTGCAACAATTGGGTACTATTAATTCTTTCAAATAAACACACAATTGATTTCAGCTGAAACAGCAACTCAAGCACTTAAATTAGCTTAAATTCGAATACATCCATCTCCGTGGAATGGCAGGGGGTATTGGTGGGCCGTCTTTTCGCACAGTGCAGGCAAAGGAAATGTTCGTTAATGCTCGTCTGGGAAATGGGGACTTGGGGACAGCGGAGGAGCCGGCTCTGCTTCTGGGATTTGAAAGTGGAGCATCCGATGGCACTGCAGATAGCAATGCCTCCCAGCCACATTAGGTATTTGTTGGGCCTCCAGACAGCACAGCCACTGAGCCACTCGTTCCCCGGAGGCAGATAATCAAAATGGAATTAGGATTTATGCCCCGACGATTGCAGTTTATTTGTCTTGCCAAGGAGCACACGTCTGTCGGAGATTTAATCGAGATTTACAAGACATCCACTTGGGTGTGCGAAACACACTCGAACATATTCGTCATATTTCACGGCAGTCCTGCAGTCCAGCAGTCCAGCAGTCCGGCACTCAGGCATTCCGGCGGTTGACACAATTGTTGCCATCACGTACCGCCAGGCTAGATAAATCTCTGGGCCCAGTGCTCTCAGCACTCGAGGCCATTGTCGCCACCTTTTGGCCAAATCGCCGCGCTCCCTGCTAACCCCTTTGCTTTTTGGCCAGCACGTGCGCGCTGTTAACCTCAAAAATGCGCTGCTAAAACATTTTTAACGCTTGCCGGCCCTCCGACATCCCAATCCTCCCACTCCCGCAACCCACCCAGGCAAAGAGCCAGACCAGACGGTCACCCAGGTTGAATCCACAGAACATGACCGCAAGGACGCAGCCAGGCCACAACATCTAATCGAGCTGATGGCCAAGGACCGGGGCGGGCCGAGCTTGACCGGAGCGCCAATCCTTTCAGGCGCTGCCATACGTGCGTCCCCTACGTGAGTCGGATGACAAAGTGGTCCGGCATATGCCGAACAGGGTGCTCCGCGCTGCCCACTTCTGGCAACAGATGGGGTGCTCAGGCAGGAGTATCAGCATATTTATCAGTAGCTGCTAGTAGACTAATTCCGAGTTACCTGATATAGATGGCCAGGTGGTCACCCTGTGCTGCGTAGGAACTACTACCACTAAGCGCGTGCGGTTATGGTGACGAAAGGCGCGCATTCGACGGCTCAGCCCCGAACACACTTGCCTTCAAATTAATGGCCAACAATGGGAAATGGCCGTGGGTCAGCAGACGGAACGCGAGGCGTGCCAAAGTCACGTAGCCAGCAGGACACACAAGCGGGGCCCAGGTGGAGGCTTTTGGAGCTGCCATATTGGCATGCTGCGGATTTGGAAGGCTTGCATGCAAAGTGCAAAGGACTCGGCGACGCGACGCTCTTTAAGGCTTTAAGGCGACGGAGCAAGGAGGACAGAGGAAGAGGAAAGCAGGGCAGGAAAATCGACACACAAAGCGCCAGTTTATCTCAAAAACATTTATTTACTTGGCCAACCCCGCAATCTCTCTTAGCCCGGTTTTGTCCCGGCCTGTAGGTTAAAATATTTGCGCTGGTTAGAAAAGCAACGCCCGCATGGCCACTTTGGAGGCCACAAGGATTCCGGATTACGGAGTCCCCCTGTCCCCGGCCGGCGAAAGTAGTTGGGAGTCGAGATAAGAGTCAACAGAAAAAATAATAATATTCCTGCTGGCTGGAGTTGGCCAAACTGGAGCGCCGACCGGGCCAAAACTATTCCAGTGCCCCGATGTGTGGCAAGTGTGCGTCCAACTGATAATTAGAGCATTTGCCAAAGATGGCCATTCCATTCCATTTCGAAAGTTGTAGTTTCCTCACATTTTTCACCATTGTCCCCCACTTTTCATGGCTCTTTTTGCGGAGAACGCATTGGCCTGCTGCCAATTGGAGCCGTTTCACTTGTAAAACATTTATGGAATTAAACTGGGCTATTATGTCGGCTGCGCATTCAAGCACCGCCATATTTCACGGAATTTCGCGAAAAATAAGGAACGGACACGAAGGGCTTTAAATTAATTTACATTCATCAGCATACAAAAATTGCCCTTCAGTTAAATCATAGTCAAGTGCCCAGAGTATCGCATCATCACTTTGGTTTTCAAGAGGTAAACCTCATTCTTTTCCGCTGGCTTATTAAATAATTCACGTTTGTTGAAAATCGGTTGCCACGACTACCAACTCGAATGGAGGCTATTAATTTATGCATTATTGGTCGCCGCGAATTTCACTTAAACACGCTCGTTAAGAGTGTGAAGCCGATCGAATTGCCACTGGGAAATCTTGCAGTGCGTCGAATTATTCATCTGGGGATATGCACTCCGGCTGGCCAATCGACCAGCGCAGATAAGCTGCTTCTGGGCGGGATTGGCTTGGCTGGCTGGTTGGCAGCTGGGAGCTTCATCGATTCCGCGACGGAATCGGCCAAGATGACCGGGTCCAAGTAATGAGATTTGCTAGCTGATACTCCACATTTATTTATGGCCACTGGCCCGTGCGGTTTCACTTTCCCAATTCGATGCGGATTCGTCGGAGGGAGCAGCGCCGATAGCACGGGCCATAAATCCGAAGTGTTATGAGCGCACTGAGTGGGAAGAATTTTATCAACGAAACACATTATTTTAGCGCATTCAGAACAGCTCGAATTCCCCATAGGACGAGTGCGAGACAAAGGACGAGCGAAAGTAATGGCGGCGGACAGAAGAAAAGCAGGACATGCGATTGTATCATGCCAGTTTGCTTGGCGAGTTCGATTTTATGTAATAATTAAATGTATATGTGAACAAAATAGAGGAATGCCCGCGAACCACTCTGCATAGTCCTGCTCCTTGCTCGCCAAACTCGATTTGGGGCCGAGTCCTTGGAAGGCTAGGAGCCAGCATATTGCACAGTGCACTTGGCAATCGAGCTGTTGGTGGAAATCAATCGACTCAAATCGCATTTGTCGCCGAGCTGCAGCGAGGAACTGCGTTCGTTACCATAATAAAATTTGAGAACAAATCAAGCCCACAATTGGTAACGACTCTCCTTCAATTGCGCAATGGCGAATGGCGAATTTGCCTGCAATTCCTTAGGCCCGATGGGCGAAGGGAATGCGGAAAATGTACTGAATAGACTTCGTGATTTAATAAGTACGAGTGTATGCAGTTGAAAGTGCAAACACAAATTTGATTTAAAAATCAACCAGCTCAATATGCCTTATTATTACTTGTATAATTCGAATATAATTATAATAGCTGTTATAATTTGCGATTAAAAAAGTGCTTTAATCTATTTGTGTGCATTATTTGCGAGTTTAATACTTTTGCAGTGCTAATATTGGTTCGCCACAAAGGCCATTTTCACTAATTAATTTTCCCTTTTCTGTGCACTTTTTGTTTCGGGCATTGCGGATGCATTATTCATTAAAAGTGATGCAATAATTGGATTCCCACCGACGGCTTAATTACACTGGTTTGATTTCAAGCGATTTCCGAGTCGATCGCCAACACATCCGTCCGATGCAACTTCTTGCCCACATAAAGGCCGGAATGCAGCCTTATTAGTGACGAATGTAAATACGCCGGCGCTGAAAAAATAAACACACCATTTGCCATTTGCCATTTGCATACTGTACGACCTTTTGACTGGTGTTGATGACTGGTGTGACGCTGGCACACATCGCAGATACACGGGCGTTGTTTGGAAACCAAATCACGATTCGGGCAACGACAGCGTTAATTAATTATTTCATTTCAACAGGCAAATCGCCATGGTGCGTTGTTTTTCTTATTCACTTTTTGCCTGACTATGCCGTCGGTTTTGGTTTTTGCCGGTTTAATCTACTGCATGCGCCCAGAGAAAATTCCAGGGGAAAAATAGGGCTGCCGGCGTAATGAATTCAATGACACGTAGTGCTCGCGTTCTCGATTTTCGCAGGCGAAGACGAGGGTGCAAATGTTTGCCCACGTAAGTATGCAACGATTTATTTCGTCCTGTTCGCTGTCAGAAGGGAGAAGGATGCGGATAGGCGAACATCTTCCATTTTGACCATGGCAATGACAGAGAAAGCGGCCTGCGGTCGGGCGAAGGTTCGACTGGCTGGATACCCCTTAAGAGATACCACAGGTTGCCCAACACCAATCTCTTCCTATTTGAAACCACATATCAACTGCCTGAAAGTATGCAACGAAAAGTTACACATTGCATATTTATAAGCTCCTTTCAGTGCTTTACTATTATTTACGATGAGAAAGAATACTGCAATGCGCTCTTTTTGGACATTAAGGAAGCATTCGACCGAGTCTGGCATATTGGCCTATTGGCCAAAATAAAAATGACACTACCAGCACCGTATTACTTGCTAATGCGGTCCTACTTGGCGAATAGGCAGTTCGCAGTACGTTTCCACTCCGCAACCTCAGGGATACATGAGGTCAGTGCAGGAGTGCCTCAAGGAAGTGTACTGGGTCCATTATTGTACTGTCTGTATACCAACGATATGCCGCAGCCAAATGCTAGTATGGACGCCAACCCTGACAGGATGACTCTAGCCACTTTCGCCGATGACGTCTGTGTTACTTACAGATCATCCTGCGAATATGAAGCAGCAGACGGCCTACAAGAGTACGCTGACAGGTACGAGAAATGGGCAAGAAGATGGAATATTGGCATAAATGGTCAAAAGTCAGCTAACGTGTGCTTCTCACTAAGGAGGAAAACACCACCTGCTGTTCAACTAGGTGAGGAGATGGTACAGCAGTGTAGTACGGCCAAATATCTTGGCATAACATTAGATCGCCGGCTCACATTTGCTCCCCACATAGCAGCCATCAAAACAAGGGTGAGAGCAGCTGTGACAAAGCACTGGTGGCTCCTAAGAAGCAACAGTAAACTCTCCACCCGAAATAAGCTCACCCTATACAAGCAGGTCATTGCTCCCATCTGGCAATATGGTTGCCAAATCTGGGGGATAGCAAGAGATAGCCAAATCAAAAAAATTCAGGTGGCCCAGAACAAAATAGCGAGACAAATTACAGGCTGTGAGTGGTACATTCGAAATAGCGTGCTACATAGGGACCTAAAACTAGTTACGGTACTACAACAAATCAACTTCCACTCCAGTCGGTACAACTCAAGACTGATGAACCACAGGAATCGTCTCGCTAATGATCTCACCATTACTCGACCGAGGCAGAGGATCAAAAGACGTCAACCAAGAGACTTAGTGCTAAGATAACAATAGCTTAATAGCTAAACATTAATTATAAAACAACATGAGAGTATTAGACCAAACTAGAAAAAGCTATATTAAATATTCCCTATAGCCGGAGCGCCAATTGGCAGAAACAATAGAAAATAAGGTAATAAAAGGGTTCATAGCTATCCTGTATATCTTAATAAACTACAATAAAAAAAAAAAAAAAAAAAAAAAAAACTATTATTTAATTAGTTTCAAACGCTATAGATTGTGGGAAAACAGGCAAGTCAAGGCTCAAGGATTCGGCTTGGCCTGAGCCTCCCAAGGCCACCACTCATCTCCCAGGACCTCGCCCCTGGACGCCCGACCGCAGCCGGGGGAGTGGGAAAAGCGGAGTGTGTAGAAGGAAAAAACAAGTGGCGGACCCATTCTCCTTGGTCCTGTCAGCATATCCTTGTTCCGAAGCCGAGTAATTCATTAACATTTAACTTGATTGACACACGAGTCGGGGGACGGTCCACGTTCCACGTTTCAGGTTGGAGCTGCCAGATTCGAGGACTCGAGTGGGTTTTTTGCTGCTCTGCGAGGCACGTACCTCGGGCGGGGGCGGTGGGCGTGGCACGCTGACGATTTGTTTATACAGTTATAATGCATAATGGCATCGGATTTGGCCTGCAGAGGATAGGCACGCCCACACACAAGCGCGCGGCAGTGAGGTTGTTACTTTGTTAATTTAATAAAAGGCAGGACGACAACAGGTGCTGTAGCCCCGAATCCGAATCCGAATCCCCATCCGAATCCAGATCCGCGTCCTGCTCCGAAATGAAGTCACGTCGCAGGCATAAATCAATTGCCATGAGCAGGCATTTGTGCCGCTCAAATTGCACGACTGCATAGGTAGAGTCCTCGCTAAGGACCAAAGGAGCTGGGCGACGCCCCGCCAGCTGGCAGCTCGCAAATTGAGCGCGAGCTATGAAAGTGTAACGAGTCTTAATTCGTTTGCCAAGTGCCGCCGAGCGGGCCACAAATCCCGATAACCATCCGATAAGCCACTCCCGTCGATGCCTGAAATACGTTCGCCTAAAATACGGAAGACTGATGGCAAATCAAATACCCAGCTGGGCCACCCAAGTGGCAGAGGAGGGTTCTCCCTAATGGGAAAGCACTTGCCATCGACGGGCGGGCTCAGCTTCAAAACGGCGACTACTAGTATAGTAGTAATAAAGTTGGCTTTAAGGTATAGGTTGGAATTGCAATAGAAGTGCTCCTTGTGCAGCAGGCACTAAATAATTCAAATTCAAAATAAGAACTTTGATTTCCGCGCCTCAAATAACTGCGAATATTCAAGAGCCAGCTAATTAGTGATGCAAGGAAATTGTAGATAACAGTTTTCCTGGAAATGGAAATGAGTTCGCAGGGGGCAGAAATGGGGTGAGTTGAAAAGAGCGAAATGTCGTGGATTGATTATCCCCAACACGAATCCTTCCTTCCTCGACGCTTCCGCTGCAGCTACGAATGGATGTCAATTACAAGGGGAGCGTCCTGAAAACTTGTTGATGTCCTGCCGGGCACAGCGGGTGTTGATTGCACCACCCACTGCCACTCCCACTCCCGAGCCCAACAAAGGGACAGGTGTCAACCAAGTGGTTTCCTTTCACTTGTTGCTTTATTGGGCTTACATACGATTGAGGCACCCCGAGTACTCCAGCTGCGAGTGCTCCGCTCACCACTGGAAGATGGTCAGCATGGCGCGGAGCAGCTCCGGGATGTTCCAGCCGTTTCTGCGCAGGGTGCGCAGTGGCTTCACCACGTCGCGTTTGTTCTGCAGGATAATTGGGGCAAGAATGAGGAACAAGGCGGCGAAAACTACACTGCCACACTCAGGTGAATAAATTGCACGGTGCCTGCAGCTTTGAATTTAGCCTATTGTATTCAGCTCGAGTGGAGCAGCAAGGACAAAGCGCGGTCTACTCACAATGTTGGCCTTCAGGGTGGCCTGAAACTCCTTGGAGACCACCGTCCGGGTGAAGTTGCCGAAATTGGTGTGGTTCGCTTGCGACTGTGCAACGTAGTTGTGCACCTCCTGCTTCGGCATGATGGCGAGCAGGTCGCCGACGAAGGTGTGGTGCCGCACCGCCTTGCAGTCGCAGTTGCGATTGGGCTGGCGGACGGGCAGTATGATGCAGTGGAAGATGTCCGCCACGGTCTCGATGTCGGCGACATCCACACCTTCCGACTGCAGTTCGCGGAGTATGGTCTGGTAAGCATCCGTATTCGTCAGCTGCTGGGTGGTCCTCTCGAATCTGCTGGTGTTGTAGTACCGCATGGCGCACCGGAACTTCCGGTCGCAATTGTAGTGCACCTCGATCAGGTTCAGCAGAGCCTCCTGATTGATCATATCGCGAATGTGCTGGAAGTCGGCGCACAGGGCGGAGTCGTGCCCGGTTTTATTCGGATTGCTATTTTCAGAATTGTTGCCATCAGGCGGACACCATTCCTCGGATTCCTCTGATTCCTCAGCGTAATGTGACTGTGCGATCGTGTGGCAGGCGAATATAGCCACGGCTACGGTCAGCAGGATAAAGGTCTTCGCGTCCATCGTCTTCCAGCTGGCCGAGATTCAAGTTAACTGTGGCCGGAACCCGCCGTTCCTCACCTGCTTTTATGGCCCTCTCATCGGCGGCAGAGTCAATTACATGCATTTCCCCTTTTCTCGGACACTGTGCTTATCTCCTGCCCATTAGCGAAATTTGTCTCAACCACTTTTCGCTTATCAGCCTGTGCAAAAATGGAAAGCACTGCCCATCATTGCTCCCCACAAGCGCCAAGATAAGAGTGGATCGTGTTTTTAATATTAACATCTTTTCACACTTGAGAACATGACTCATGGACTTCGTTCCTCAAAGGGGCTCTCATCCGCTCGTGAATATGCCAGTAAGACGATGTGAATTGTGCCATTTATTAGTTCTCTGAAGTTCTCCCAGTGCACATCTAATTGGTTGACATTGGAGCTTATAATTTGTGAAATTCGCTTATAATCTCTGGGCTGTGCGCTCCATTAATTGCAAATTATAGTCCGTGCCCTGCATCCCATCCCGTAAAAGCCTCATGACTTATGCACCTGATGCTCCTCGCCTGTGTGCATGTGATTATGACTTTGGGGCAGTAAAGGGATAGACCACCCACTCATTAGTTCCGTAGTTCTGGCGGGCGGGGGAAGCTGGACGGGGATTCGTCAAAGTAAGTCCAACGTTTATCCACAGGACCAAGTGCTCGGGCCCCGGAGTGCAAATCAAGTTCAGTGGGGGATCAGGAGCAAAGGACCTGGCTGTCCAGAGGGGCAGTGCTTGTTTGGCCAGGAGCTCCGGGCCTCCACTTGATTCATGGCCCTGTGTTTGCGCAGCGTCTCGCAGGAGATTCAGATTCAGATTCAGATTCAGGTTCAGATTCCATTCGAGCTCGAGCGAAGTTTGCAGCACTTTTCGGGATTCAATGGCTTGAATGAAATCTCGCAAATGCAGTATGAAATTCGGGGAAAAATTGGAAAATCCAGCGTAATAATATTAACAATCATGCACATCGCTGGGCACATTTATCTTGCCGCAATTGTCATGAGTTTCTGGGCTCTGTAGATATCGGTCCGCTTTCATGACAAACAAGTGTAGCAAATATTTGCCCATCAATGGAGCGGAAATAGTTCCATTCAACATTTTCTTTTTCGCTTTGTTTTCATGTTTACGCCTTTTTTTTCTGCAGCGCTCGTACTCAATTGTAAATTTGGAGACATGGGAAAAATACAAATGGCACGGCGTTTTCCTGCAGCATACAGTTCCAATTTTCCTGTAGTTAAACTTGCTTCCACTTAAGCTTAATCGGCGATTTATTTCACTGGATAAAATAGTTGGCAGAGCCAGTACGAAATTCGATTCAGCAGTCAGCAGTGAGCAGCTCAAATGAAGCAGATAAACTGCAAGCGGAGTGCAAACTTTTGGCAAAAGGTGAAGTTCAGCTCAGATGGCTTACAAAACGACCCCATTTGGGCGTAAAATGGGTTCCCCTTGCATGTGTGCGCTTTTTCCCAACTATATGGACGCAATTGAATTGCGGTTTGCTGACCTTGATTGCCGTTTAATTAATGTTGGCGGCCAATTAATTGTCATAACCAAAGCAAACCGCAGAGCCACTTTTTAGCCCGATTTCGCAGGCAAATGACACAACAGAACCACACGTCAGCAAGACATTGCCACAAAGTTGCTCGCATCTGGCATTTGGCCAACCATTTTCATTCCCCCGATAATTTACTCAATTAGAGCCGAACTCGCAGGCTTTGCGGCATTCACCAGAATCGCTTTATTACTGCACTTAGAAAGGCTCCAACTTCAGTTGTGGCGACACCAACCCCACTGTGCCACTCTATATACTTACATATATACTGCATACATGAGCCAACAGACAGACAGCTAATTTAGTTAGCTGATAAAACTAAACTGAGCCGATCATCTTGGCGGAAGTCGGGGGCTCTGGAGCGAAAGTTGAACAGCTAACTTACTTCGATAAACAGGCTTAATTAGCGACCAAAGCTGAAAGCCAACAAACTGCCAACTGGAGCTGGCACTAGGCGCATTATTTCCCATTTCCCAGGGCACACACACACACACACACTTATCCCCAGCCTGCCACGCACACAAACGCACTTAAAGCCACTGGCAGCAGGACTAAAAACACAATCAAATATTAGACAGTGGCACAGCTAAACACAAATTTGTAAATTTGAAATTTTTAAAAAAATAAAAACTATAGATGTCTAAAAGTTTGGTAAGAAACATAAAAAGCAGCTAAAATCCAGGGAGAATACTTCGTTGTATCTTTAAGATACTTAGTTCCGCGACGAAGTTGCCCCACTGTAGCTGTGCGCTGGTTGAAGGGCTTTGTCGACTGTCCGGCTTAATTATGTGCAAGCAACAATGATATTTATATTATCAGCCAGTCAATGTCAAACGTCAGCACCACCCACTGACCAGCAGATGAACACTGCTCCACTTGGACACTCCAGCTCCAGCAAACACACAGCATTAACATTAAGTCCGAAGACAAAGACGTCGGCCAAGGTACCAGCACTCGCCTGGGTTTGAGTTGGGATCTGTGTGGCTGGGGTGTTAATAGCTCCTCCATGTGCACCGCATCGCCATAACCCGAAATTATATCCCGCACACATGGCTCCCCAGAGGTTGAAGTGCCGGGCTGGCCAAAAAATAAATGCAGATTCATGGCTGCCCAGTCAGCAGACAAATGATGCGAATCGACGAGCTCGAAAATTTCGAGGGACTTTCGGGAGGCCGTCGCATGTCCCGGGGCGCTTAAAACTTAAAGCCCACCGTTTTAGCTCGTTTTTAACCTGTTGCGGGTGAGCCCATTTTTATTTTCGTCCTCGATTTTTTCTTTTGTCGCAGAGCACTCTCGTCTAGATTCGCATCGAATCGCAATCGGAATCGAAATCGGGAAAAACAAAAGCTTTGTCCGCCTATTGTTTTGCTGGTAAACAATTAAAAATGGCAAATGGCTCTGGATCCAGGACCCCGATGGAGGAGGAGGAGCAGGAGGAGGAGGACACCCAGAAGGGCAAACACAAGGCACAGCGGCACAAACACAATCCAAAGTGTTGGCATCACACAACAGCAGGAAAATGGCTCACTCTCGTGTGACAGTGACGTCTCACAATTCGTATGACAGCACATCGAGTGGCAGGGAAATGATATGGGGCAGGCAGACAAAGGATGCCGAGGTTATCTCAATTGGGTTCGACATTCAGTTGATACCCTGCCGCAGACAGAGCTTATATAAAATGGAAAGAAAACAACAGCTGCAAATTTGATTCATTGTGCATAGTAATAAAGCAGTTTAAGTTAGGGATTTTTACAATTTGTATATATAATATATTTAAACTACTCATTTATCTGCTGAGTAACGAATTCTCGACTATCAACCAACCTGAATCTCAAGCTGCCAAGCAAACCAAGTCGAGCTGGAGTTGGTCTAGACAAATTGTGTCCTCAAGCCCTACGAGCAGGATCCTTTGGTTTGGGGGAGCCTACATCTGTGTGCGTTCGATAATGGCTGCCATATTTGCTCAGCCTCCATTTTCATTGCGGCCCGGCTACCTGAAACTCCAAATTGGCAACATGAGTTGGCAAGAACGCCATCTGTGTGGGCGAAAAGTAATTTGCAGGCAAATTATGATAAATAGATTTGTGTCTAACCCACGACCATGGCACCCAACTCAATTTGGACTAACAAAGCAGGAACTCCATTTGCTAAATTGTTTCACATTGTTCTGAAGAAAGTCCTCCAAATCCAACTTCGATTTGGATTTCAGTGCAATTTATGAGCCAACAATTGCACTTCTGTGGCACTTATTGAATTAAGTGACATTCAATTGCTTTTTTATGTGTCCCATAAATAACTCTGTGGCAACTTTGCGTTCGAGCGTCGTTTTTTCGGGGTAATACGTTTAGAGACCCAAGAAACTGGGCGGGCAGCTCAATTAAAATGACACTAAATTGCATTTGGATTGCCTGGGTCTGAGCCACAAGCCACTTCCTCCCAGGTTGCCTGCCTTTCTCCCGGCTGAGATTGCCTTTTTGCGCAGACAGCACTGAAAAGAAACTTTTGGATGAACCTCAAATAAAATCCACGCTCTTTGGGTGCCAGTTATACTCGAGCATTTAGGACTTTGGGTGAGTAGCTGACCGATATTTCAAATCACGCATATATCACAGATAGCTTTTCTACAGATAGGGAATCTTCCTATTTTTGTTCAGTGAGCTTGAGCCGGAGCTGCAGCATCTGTCCATGCACTCGGGATTTGAGCTCGGGACATGGACGAGGACACTCCACTCAAGCGACTGGCCCGCAGCGCCGTCATCTTGAGCTCGGAAGCCCAGAAGCACCATCCTTCGTCCTGGCATCCACATCCTGCGTGTCTGTGCATTCGCCGCTGTGGTATTTTCCATGTCGCTGCATTGCTTTCAGCATCTGGCTGGCGACCAACTTTGCAGGCAGCCCGACATCTTGGCATTCAAGGAATCTGCAGGAGCAAATTCGCCTTGTCTGTTGCCTTTAAGGCAACTGGCTGCCTGCAGTCCTGCGATTGAAATCGTATTGCTGATTGTATTTTAGCCGGATTAATTGTCAATGCGGCTAACACCCTTTGTTCGGTATGTACTTAAAACATAATGCCAAATCGAAACGGAATTTCATTTGCCACACTTACCGGCGCAGAGAGAAAACAAACACATTTCCCCCGGAAAAGCTCTTTGATTTTGAGCGCTGAAAATTGGATTTCGGTTCATCTTTATCCGCTCTTGCTAGCAAAATATGCGATAATGCGAATAATGTTGTGGGAAAATCAATTTGTTATGACGCCGCTTGAATTGTGGGTGAATAAACAGAATGCGCCTACGCACTCTTGACATAACATCAACTTTTTATAGCGAATATGAACAGAAAACAAGATAAAAAGCTGCAGTCGAGTTCCCCGACTATCAGATACCCGTTACTCAGCTAGTGGAAAGCAAACGTGAAATATAAACATTTTCTGGGATTTTGGTAGAAATTGGGAAAAAAT